ATTCCTGAAGTGTCTCCTGACTGTGAGGATGTCAGAGTTAAGGGAGAAGCGGCAGACACCTGGCATGCTTCCCAGAGCCTTTCATCTCGGGTTGGGAGGCACTCTTTTCAGGAAACAGCGGGATGAGCCTGCAGCAAAGTACATCCCACAGTTTAAGTCTCACACCATTCTGGCACTGTAGTCACTTATAATGTGTGATGAAGTGATAACACGCAGCCCCAGAAGCTCAACAAAGCAAGTTTATGCCTAAATCCCAGAGTAGTACAGATTCATTAAATCAAATCCACTTTTTAAAGAACAGCAGTTCAAAGCCAATATTAAAACATGGCTTTCAAACTAATTTATGCATCAGCAGTTTTATTATGCAGTCCCTAAAACAGGCTGTGAGAAATTAGCTTGGGCTACTAACAGCGACTGAAGGTTATCAGAGCTCACTCCCACTCTGTGCACGAATCAGAGAAGTAAGGAAGGGCTTTTAGCTCCGCTCCCATTCAGTGGCATTGTGTTTCACTGTATGTGGAGGCCTGTGGGAGAGATAGCCTCCGCTCTCATCACCCCAGTTATCTGCAATCATAATTGCCCTCCTACTGGCTGCAAAAATGGCTGTTCAGGATTATGACTAAGGTGAAATGAAAGGGCAGAATGAGAACAGAGGATAGAAGGGGTGTTTTATGAAAGGGGGGGGGACGCTAGCTACCTGAGACTATTATGGAGATACAATTTTAAGTGAGAAGTTTCATTGATTTTTACTGTCTCTATCAACAATGATCTTATCCTAATACACCTAACAACAATATGTTTGTGCATATGACACAAATGTACATGCATATATTTCTTCAGGCTGTGACTGGATTTCACCCTGCTTTCAAAATAGTTACTAGAAAGTTACTAGATTATCGGACTGTGATGATCTAACATCTGTCCGTTAACTAAAGCTGCAGTTTTAAAGGCCCAGCAAATAGCATGATAATGTTTCAAGTAGAGCCGCACGATTAATCGTTAGAAAATCGCGATCTCGATTCATACTTATGTGCGATCTCATTTCCAAATGACAACGATTTTTTAAAAAAAGAAAAAAGACGACGACGATTGTACCGCATTTTGATCCGGGACGTAATCTGCATGAAAACAAGCGCTCACTCTTCCTGCTCAACAAATGACGAGGGCGGAGCCTTATACCACGTGATACAGAAGCTGGCTGCTAAAATTAGCAGGGAAAAACAACGGAGAGCACGTC